GAGAAGTAGAAAGCCAAAAACTTTTTTTCCCAAACCTTTTAATTTGTTATGCTGATTAAAGCTAATATTTAAGTTAGGACCTCAAAAAATGTAATAGTACATTTGCTTTTAGATAGTACCTGAATTTACTGAAGAAATTGGGTTGGAGGAGAACCAGATATCACCTCCTACATCAGTGACACCCTCAGGGAGCATGTCTAGTAAAAAAGTGAGTTTTGAATTGTGTGTGGTACAGTTGTAATTTTTATTATATAACTCTTGTCTGTTCCCAGCAAACGCATATTAAGAAAAAAATCGATTGGAGTAGTTATGCACCTAATAATTTAAAAAGAAAAGCCAACGGAAAACTACACCCAACCAAAATAAACCCGTTATATAATGCAAAAGAAGATTATTATAAAAAGAAAAAGGAGCTTCTTGAAAAAACGGTAGAAGCAGAGGAGAAGGAGAGATCAAGGAGAAGGGAGAGAGAAGAAGAAGAACATTTAAAAAAAATGACTTTATTGGATTTAGAAATCAAATTAAAAGAAAAACAATTAAATAAATTAAATGTTTCATAAAACTGATTTTTAATTATTATTAGTATTTACAATCTAGCAAAATGTTCATTAATTATCAAATTCCTTATATTTTCTGCTATATTTGGATTATTTTCCATGGGGGGTAATACATCCTCATCGTCTTCCTCTATTTCATCTTCTTCAGTAAAGTTATCATTCATATCAATGGCAATGTTATGAAGAACTGCAGTTGCGACTATTACTGCCATTGTGGTTTCTAGTTTTAGTCTCATGCCAAACCTCAAAACGGGAAATCGTCTTTTCCATAAACCGTATTGACGCTCTACTACATTTCGAGTCCTTATTATAGACTCATTGTATAAATTTTCAGCAGGTGTTCTAGTTTGTTGTAACTTAGTCATAAGATATGGCTTTAGAGAATATCCACTGTCACCAATTAGCATATACTGACCAAATACACCATTTTCAAATTTTTGCTTTAAACTGCTATTATTAAAAATTGTTTGGTCATGCACCGATCCTGGCCATCTCACAACAATATCTCTTATTTTCAATTTAGCATCGCTTACTGTCTGAACATTTAATGCAAAATAAGATTTTCTACATCTGAATATTTCTGCATCATTTCCACCGGGAGAATCAATTTTAACTAATGTGCAATCAATTGCTCCAATGGTCTTGGGAAATGAAGCTATTTCATAAAATTTTTCAACTGCTTCTTCCAATTCCCTTTTATTTTCATACATGCGAATGTGTTGTCGGGCTAGTGAGGCAATAGCAATAGACACCTTTTTGATAATCCTGCTAGCTGAACTTCTAGACACTCCCATAAAATCTGATACGATTATTTGCATATTTCCTGATGCGTAGAATCTTAAAGTCAACAATAATTGTTGTAATGGTGTAATGCACCCACCTCTAAAAAATAAATAAATTTTTTTATAATTCTGTTAATAATACAAATTTTACAACTTACTTATTAGTAGGTAACTGAATTTGTTCTTTTATTTCATCTAGTAGATACAAAACAGTTTGTTTTTTTAAGCGAAAACGTTGGTAAAAGTCAAGCTCATCATATTTTTCGAAGCAGTCTGTTCTTTTCCTATACACTTTTGGTCTTCTAGTATAAATAAATTCTTCATCAGATGAACTTGAGCTAGACGTTTCAAAATTATTCATATTTTTATGATTATTATGGCTAAACGAACACAAAACTAGCAAACGTAGCGAGTAGCACAACAAATAACAATTATTAAAATTGAGGTTATGTTGTAGTTAAATGACACTTTAGCGAGTTGAAGTAGAGAAATCGACACTTTAACTTTGAAGGACGTTTTTGGCTTAAAGGACACTTTAACTTGGTTATGAAATCAAAAATATTTATTAAAGTATCATTTAAAGTTAAAGTAACCTTTATGTTTCTTTATGAAATCGGCCGTTAGCTTATAAACTCCAGATTTCTCCAACTTGTCCACCTTTTCTTTGGCATTGAAAAGGAAATCAGATAACCTGGAATGTGGTCTGAATGCCACTTCCACATTGTTTTTTCTTGGGAAACCCGCAATTATATCTGTTCTTTTTTCAAACTATGTTAGAGTAACCCATTTCTTAATTTCTGGTTGTTTGACCTGAGGGTATATTAATCTGTATGGGAATTTACGGCTTTATTTTCTGACTAACTTTTTGATAGTATCTGCCTTGAAATGATAATTATGACCTATCTGTGTAATCATATCAATTTCCCTAGCTAGATTGTTAGCAGACAAAGGCAGTGAGAATGCTCTGTGCAACATTGAATTGTAGGCTGCTAATTTATGACTGTCTGGATGGAAAGAATCGCTTGGGATGGTGATGTCTACATAGCTAGGTTTTCTGAAAACATTGAACTCAAATTCATTTTGATTGTGTGTAATGGTCAGGTCTGAGAAATTTATCTGTTTCTCTATCTCTGTTTCGAGTGTGAACTGAATGTTGCTATTGATATTATCCATGAATGTCATAGAATGTCGTGTTGTACCTCTGAAACAGGCAAGAATATCATCTACATATCTGTACCAAAAATGAATATGTTTTTTACTACCCACGTCGGAATTTACTATAGTGGTCTCCAAGCTGTTCATAAATATGTGTGCTAAAAGTGGACTAACACCCCTTTGTTTCAATATATATTCAAAAATACTTCTCTAAATACAAAATAACAACAGCTTCCTTAAGTAATAATAATTCAGGCATAACTCTATTCAATGCAAATCCTAGACGATATAGAATGAAAAAATAGAATTGAAACATTCTATGTTTTTCATGTTTTATGTATAAAAAAACATAGAAAGTTTCAATTCTCTTTTCTTCATTATGATTTCCTACTACGTATATAGTTGACACCACTGTTCATTCAACTACCTTGCTTTCTAGCTTACTTAAAAACTCTCTATATAACCTAGTTCTCAAATTTCACATGTTACTTTTATACTTGATAATGGGGTGACACCCGAAACCGGTCGTAAAAATAAAATAACTAGTGGAAATCAGACAAAAGTGTTTTCACTTGTAATGATATCAGAGTTCAGTTCAGTTCAGATATCAGTCTATTTATGACGATTTCAAGACTCTGTACGAACAAAAATATCCATTGCGAGCCTCAGCATTTTCTTCCGGCATCATGCCTATGGGTAAAAGTGGATCTGTCCAATAGTATTTTGTGGATAGAAGGGATGCCAAGATCATAGTTCCATATACAGCTTAGCAAAATCTGAACAAATCTATCCGAATTTTTCTGTGTCTATTGTGTGATCACTTAATATAGTTTTTGAACTTGTTTCAGGCGATATACAAGGAAAGAAACTATACTCAATATTGTTGCTGAGAGTAAATGATTCATTAAAAATCTTTGCTCGTAATACCATAATTGGTGTTTTCAAATTCAGCTTCTGGAACATTTACCATGAGCCCCAATTATGTTACTGATATAAGAACATAGACTCCCACGGTCGAAGTCGGGCTAGTAGGGTCATGATCGATTTAAAAATAAAGTACCAATCGATTCATCTCCTACTGAGACAGATATTATCAGTAATATGTGCGATGACTACGAGGACGAAAGTGATATATTGAAGTTAACGCACATATCACTGTTGATGACTGCCACAGTATCATACGAAACGTTTGGTACTTCAGATTCCATGCGACCACGGAATGATATCCCAGATTTTGTTCTCTTCAATTTTGTTTTAGATACTTCGTGTTTTGCTCCTCTCAGTTGTCATTTTTCCACTTGCCATTTGTATGCTAGATAAAGAAGTTTAAAAAAAAAATTGGTATGGTTTATGATATAGATAGCGGAAATTTGAAAAACTAGTTTCTACATCATCATATGTTTTACCCACAAAATGTTATTCATGATCGTGATTTGACTATCTTTCAATAATTTTATTTTATGCACCATGTATCCAATACCCTCGTTCGTGATCATCGATTCTTCAGTATTTCGTAAAAATTCTTGCACAGGATATTCGTTTCTAATACCTTTTTGTAAAATTGTTTGACATGGATAATTCTGCTCCGAATGATTTACTATTTTTTCAACAGACCAGCTTCCACAAACATAGATAATACTTTTATTATTGTCATTCTCTGCTTTCACTCATTTTGGATGCTAGTTAGTGCTTCTCTAAATCTTTTTGGCAGGCGTCGGAGATTTTATCAAACCATTCATTATATTTGAAGCAACGGTTCCAATTTCACATGAGTGGCGAAAGTAAACTCTTCAGAAGTAACTCCTCGAATAACTAATAACTACTGTCATATAGACGGTGTCCCATAAAAGATACATAACTCTAGCTCTTTCACACTTTTTGTGACAACTTGTTTGGATGAAAATAACCCTGTTTGCTTTTTGGGTTGCATAGAATTGATAATTTTTTCTTGTTCTGTATCGTCATTCTTCAGCAATCGTTCTAATAGTTCTTCTTCAGCAATTTGGTAGGTCATCAAATGACTTTGTTTTAGTTTATACATCATTGTAAACCAACTGGATTCGGGCATAGAATTGTGGTTGCGTATTAGCTTAACAGCATCAATTTTTGGCCGTGAGGGTTGGTTATTATTTACCCATGACGACGGAACTATGGTGAACATATATACCTAAAACTTAGATGAAATGAGTCAAATCCAGCTTCAAAAAGACAAAACTATCAACTGAAAATATAGGCCTGAATTATGAAACATCTGGTCAATCATTGAAGCTAATTAAAAAATATATTCTGACATCAAAAACTTACCCGTCATTTCCACTAAACGCACGACAAATTAAATATCAACAATATTTAATCCGCGTTCATATAGGTTATGTCTAATATAACATGTATTTAGCATTAGACAACGAATATTTATCATAAAAAAGGTAATATGTGATGAATATAAGTAATTTATATTATAAGAGTCACCAAAGTGTCATTTATTAGCAAAAATGTTGCCAACTAACNCTTAAATATGTTGCAAAAGTGCAGTAAGGGAAGTCTTTACAAAACTACTTTTTAAGAGTGATAGACAAATTTTATAGTAACTGCCAAAATGTTTATAAAACTGTTTTGTAGTGTTTGTAAAAGGCCTTACAAAATAGTGATAACAACTATAATGTTTTATAAAACTGTGCCAATTGCCTATTTATAGCAGTTTTATGAACATTTCGAAAACATTTCTGGGAGAAATGCAGTTTTATAATTTGTTTCTCCGAAACGTTTCCGCAACTGTTATAAAATACGAAATTGCTAGTTGGGCCACTTCCTCAACTTCCACTAAAAATTCACAAAGTTCTCGGTGACCTCGAAACGAAGTGTGGAGCCAATTTCGTTCATTTACTATAGGCATGCACTCATATAAAAACGAAATTCAAAGTTATCATAGGATATTTTGTGATAAATTACTTATAAACTGAAAAACGATAAAAACAACAGTGAATAAACTGAACACAATATCAATTTTTGATCGTTTATTATAACTAATCTGATATCCGTGGTACCGTCAAATCCTTCGATACTACAGCATTGAACGCGTTGGATGAGAATCTCATCCTAAGAGAAGGTTCCCGGCAACTCAGGCGGATCACGTGGTAAGAGAGCCTACTGGTTGTATTATTCTACTTCTACTGTGGGAAAACCCTTGAAGTTCAACAGACTTTCGAGGTTATTATTATTCAAAACTGTCCTTCTGCGGAATGACGCTTTGAAATAGTTGAAATACACTGTACAATACTGTACATAGGTACCCGTTTCAGAGATATCCATGCCCACGGAAGATCATCCCGGATTTTGTCTTCCTGATAGTGGGAGTACAATTCAGAGGTTTCACGAATTCTTGAAATAACCATCAAAATAGTCATTAAATCGAGTAGAGTGTAAGAAGTATACTGAATAGAATTTCAAAATGCAAATATCTGGAAATGATATTTGCATTTTGACGAATATCCCTGACGAATATTCCTAATGATAATTAACTAATGTCCATTCATTGTACACATTATTTTTACTTCCGATTCATCACCCTAAGGGTGAATTGAAGGGTAAACATAATCTAATTACGTCATAACACATAAACCGGAAGGATCAAATTTACATTCCTCAGATAATATTGTTCTGGGGTTGAAAGGTCTCCTCAGCTTTACTGACAAAGGAAGTCTTAACTTTCCGTATCTTTCAGCTGTTCTGTTTCCATTCGACTCTGTCATAAATAATGTTATTATAATGTGAATTCTCAACGTGAATAAATTATAATCATGCTGTTATTATATCTTAACTGTTTTACTATTCCATTGAATAAATCCCCTCAAACTTAAGCACACTGCCATTGTTCAGAAACAGATGATAATTAAAACGGTCCTTCCGCCTCTCAGATTTACACGACTAAAATGGTGTATAAGCTATATCTTTTGTAGAATTTCTAATTCTTGCAAGGATTATATGTTTTATTCGTCATTGATTAAATGGCAACATGACAATTTGAGTACACATGGGTCAAAGTGTACATTAGTATTGAAAACAATGTTTGGGAGATTGAAAAAACCAGCACCAACTCCACAAATGCTAACTCCCGTGTCGGAGTCGAAATAGAAAAAGAAAATCTGCTCAGTACATATTTTTGTTATTCAACTGTCGCCCTCTACTAACAAACATTCTCAGGTAAAAAAAGGCGAGTTCGAGATTAACGTAGTCTTAATTTTTGGCGTGCGATACCTAGCATGTTGATAAAATTCAGGAGAGGTACATGTAATGCCCAAGAGTAGATAAAAACACAAAACACTTGTCTCTCTGACGGTTAATTCGTCTGAACTGACCCACTCGACACGGACGAAGAGCTAGCACTCCGAAACCGGTCAGTCAGCGGTCATCTTGACCAAATTAAATTGATATAGAAAGTTACTTGCGAAAGAAAATGATAATT